CTTGCAGCTCTTCCAATTGTGCTACTTCCTGTTTGTAAGAGGATATCGGAGGATCTCTTTGGCGCACAGTTCTCGCCCAGTGCCAGAAGCAGTGATGGCTTCATTTCAAACAAGTGTTGACAGGTCATGGTGGTGGACGGACGCCCGCCATGTTCAGCTCTCTTGCTTGAGACACAAGTCTGTTTCCTATCACAGTCCAACTGTTAATATTTGCTCTTTTTAAGCCATGGTAGTAGTGTGTATCTGAGGGGATGGAAATGTCAGTCAGTTGGTCTGTTGGCCACTGTGGTCTAAACTGAAATGCATCAACAAGTATTGGATGGATTGCCTTGAAATTTGGAACAGATATTTTTAGAAACTTATGAAGAAGGAAAAAAAAAACTGGGGTGGAGAGTTTTTATTCTTTGTTTGTTTGGCAGGTGCTCTGTGGAGCTGAGGGTCATGATGACTGCATACAGAAGCATGTTCTCTGAGTCATGAGGTTTGACAGAAAGCATAGCTTCAATATAATATCCAGACATGACCTGAGTACCACCTGCTCCGGTATCACCATGTGCGACTTATTTGAGTCATGTCTCAGTCGTGCCTGAGATTGTTTCTCCTTTTGTAGACCTACAAAACTATACTTTTTATCCTTTATATTACTATTATATTATACTATTTTACACTTTTTCTGCTAATTAGCAAATGTTAGCATGCTAAAGCAATAATACAACATAGACCATGGTGAGCATGACTTGTTCATGGCCCGACGACGACGACAGCAGGTTCTGTAAATGTCCTCTAGTGATGGTAACTGAGTGCCAGTGATTTGTTGTGATCATTTCCTGACTCTGATGGTTTGTTACGGTAGACATTTGGACTTGTTTTATCACGAATAACATTAATGATGTGTCTATTCTGTTCCATTGTTCCAGTAAACCGTGGCAGTAATAACTACAGTCTGACCCTGAGCTTGATTGTTAACCATGCTGTGGTTGTTGTGCACTGACCCTGCGTTGGTTTTGAATGTTAAAAGAAAAATAGTCCTCAGTCATCCACCATTGTTCAGTACGGCCCAGGAAAGCACAACATGTTTCCTGAACTAGTGCTGAACAACTCACTTATGCTTTATCAGGTAATGACAGGGCAGTTACCAACATAAATATGTATAATAAGTATTCAATTATTTTGTAAGCCACCAGGCAGCGGGGGCCACGAGATGAAGAGGTTGGTTCATAACAAACGCACCGTGCACTGCGCCAGCACCAGCTGCCAAAAGCCAGTTATTTCACTCCTCTTTATTTGTTGCATGAATAAAGAAGCAATTCTCTCCCTTATTAAAGACAATTTACCACAGAGCTCATCTCAGGGGTAATTCAATCTCCATGCTGCGGGAGAGCGACGAGTCGCAGGGGCCGCACTCACGCATGTACACAAACACACCGCCATATGCACACGTACCGCGCAGGCGACATATGCAGGGAAACAAACCGCAAACCAGTGCGAAGCCACAAACACTTCACAGACACACACTTGTACGGGCGGGTACTGACTGACTGTGCGCGCGCACACACTCGGTGGAGGATGTGTGAAGTGAACAGAAGAGTCAGTTAATGGGAACGCTAATGGAAATTATCCAGGCCTGGGTCCCACTGGCCGCAGCTTAAAGGACTCGGCCTGTTCACTGCATTACCCATGATTCCCCCTCGGGGGAGATGCCCACGTTAGCAGCCAAGGTAACGTTCGTCAGCACATCTCTCTCTCTCTCTCTCTCCCTCTCTCCCTCCCTCCCTCTCCTCCGCCCCTCTTCTTTCCATTTATATTCTGTTTATTCTCACTTTCTAATCTAGTTTGCACTGCTCTCATTTCCCTTTTTCCTCTTTCTCCAAATGTTTCCCTCCCTCCATCTGCACTCTGCTGTAAATGATTAAAATTAGTATATTTGCCTTATAGTTACATAAAACAAACATTTGTTGTTCAGTTTAGTCAACACTTGGTAATATCCCATCATCAAATAGCCAGGCTAATGCTGTAATTCTAATATAGAGAGTCTAATTTTACTTCCTGCAGGGAACAATTTGGAATCTTTTTATTTTTAATCACATCTCAAACTCGGGTAAAAAGCAGTTCTGCAGTGTCCTTTTATCTGCCTTTTTTTCATCTCTGCTTTATTTTTAAGTGTCCTCCTTCAGCGTTTCTCCTTGTTGTTTCCTTCTTTTTATTTTTTAGGAATAACCATGTAACTTTACATCTGGAAATATACAAGGTTTACTGTTATTATTGTTGATTTAATTGGTAATAATTCACATTAGGGTTCTTGCAGCACTGTAAGCTGCGGCTGACTTCAAACGGACTTAATCATTGTGAAGAATCAAAACATCTTTCAACTTTTCTCAGTGGAAAGTTCTGTTATGTTCAATATCTTGCACCAACTTCATTTGATTCAGATCAACAAACCTGATTTGAACGTGCAGTGAACGGCAGGGTTAGTAACAGAAAGAGATCAGAACGAAAATGCTTTGTCAGGCACTTTTCGTGGAGCAGTTGCCTGTCCTGCCAGCGAGAGCTAACCGGTTGAATTCTTAGGAATTCAGTACCTTTAAATCATTAAATATTAACATTGAAAAAAAAAGCAAGCTTGGCCCAGCATGCTGTTCACCAAAGGTCATGTGTTACGTTTATACCAAAAGGGTGAGATAGACAAAACAAAACAAAACTGAAATCTCACCTTTTTTAAAGGGGGATTTAAATTCTCATGAGAAATGAGCAGCTTCTTGTTCTGATTGGCTGCTTCCTGCAAAGCTAAAAAAAAAAAAACATATTCCACAAGGAGATGTAAAACCAGTGAGTGTCATCCGCCGCCAGCAGGAATACATGCATTTAAAATAGGGCTGTCATTTTTAAAGGAAATGTCTTCATATTTGACGTTTTCTGTTTGAACCATACATTAGTCAAGAAGTATCCTGGAGAGGATGTTTAAGCCTTTACAGCTTCCTTGTCTTCTGCTTCTTCAGACTGAATCATTTTGAATTATTACATTATTTGGTGGGGGGGCCCCATGGGAGAAGGTCCGAGCGCCAACTGCCCACTTACCCCTGGTTAGTCAACTTAACGCTGTATAAATCCTAGATCTATTTTACAGATAGAATTCAACCCCTGGTTCAGCTTCTGTATAGAGATCAGAGCCGAAGTAATGGGCCGTGGGATCGCAATTAGTGCGGAGATTAGCGATTGATTAGCTAATTATGATAAAAGAACGGCTTTTATGGAAATGGCAGCAATATGTGTAAAATTTCTGCATGAGCAAGGAAAGTGGGAGGGGTGAGAGAGAAAGATGTAGTTAGGTGGAGTGTGTGTTTGTGTATTTCTCGTGTTAAGTATAAACACACAATGAAAGGTCTGAATTTTGATCAGGACTTAGCTTCTTGCTTATTTCTCGACCTGGTTTTTATACTTGACTGTACGAGGGAGTATTAGGGCCACCTTCAGGATCTAAGAACTTGATCAGTTGTCTCATTGTGTCTTGTGATACAACATATCCCCTCTGAATTGCAAGCGGGTGTAACCAACGATATCCTTGCATTTGTCCATTACCCGCTATTTCAGTTTTGCACGAATGCAGCCACCTCTCCGAAGCCCGTCTGGTTTTTCCCTCTGAACAGACGCAGTTTTCGTCACAATCTCTTCAAAGTCCTGACGCTGACAGCTACACTGTGTTTATGAGCCGAAAGAGAAAGGATTTCTTTGCTGCTAAAGCCGATTCTCAAGTACAATTTCATCAGTTCATCTATACCAGGCATTTTGTAGAGGCAGTCATTGATATCGTCTCAAGAGGTCGACTTTAATCTCGTAATGTCAAGTTCATTCTCGACATTTCGACTTTATTCTTGAAAGGCAAAATTGGAATAAAATTCTTCCTCTTCTGACTCAGTTCAACTTTAATCTCGACATTTTGACTTTTTTCCTTGAAGTGCATGATTCAAAAAAAACAACTTCCTCCTCTCACTTATTTTTTCATCCACGGCCCTAATACTCCTTCGTATGACTGACACCTTGCAGCAAAAATATACATTATTTGGCGACTTTTGACAGACAACAAGGTGTCAAGCTAAATTGTTCAGTATACTGAGAGAAAGAAATCTCTTGAAGGTCCAGTGAATATGGCGCATCAAAAGGTCAACAACGCCGTCCCGCTTCAACAGCTCCTTCAAATGTGTCTTGTGCCTGGTTTTTAACCTTTATTACTCTCTGCACCCTCAGTAAGAAAAACTCTGTGGGGCGATGGTAACACTGAGTCATTCCCATCAAGACAAAATACAGTTGAACAGTTGAACCTGATTTTAGCGTAAAGCTCCTTGAGTGGTCGATGCGACTAGAAAAACGCTATATAAGTGCAGTCCCTTTACCATTTACCATAATCAGCCACCCCCCTCCAAGATAAGATAAAAGTGTTTGTGATTTTATGGTTTGGAGTTAAATGTGTAGCAATTACTAACATGCAAATCCACATCCTGAACTGCGTGAATGCCACTGCAGTATTAAGTATTGCTGAAGTATCGGTCATCATCTTATAGGCTTTTACAATCTTTTACACAAATAATGACGGACATTAGTGCAACACTTGTTGAAGTAAAACATCACAACCAACATGCAAGTATCACAGAACTTACCACAGAGGTTTCCCACTGGTATCCATCACTTTGTTGACAGTTTGAAGTGAAGGATAAACTTTGAAATTTGAAAGAGAGCACAAATGTAAAGTTTAGGCCTGAGCTGTGTTGAACTGAACCAGTTCAGCTCACTGTCCTTCAGTCCTTCAAAGCTTACTGTCATGACCTTCAAGAAAGTGGATTAGGACGAGGTTCATACAGTAGCTGTCGCTGTTCTACCCCGACTTTAAATAGTCAGACCTCCTGATTTAAAGTGAATGTTAGAGATGGATCGTATATTTAGTTTAGGAGAAGAACAGAGGTTAAGAAATTGATGTTGAATTTTTTTTTTTGTGTTTGTCTCTTCAGGCATGCGTATCCTGGTCAACCTGCTTCTGGACACTCTGCCCATGCTGGGTAACGTCCTCCTCCTCTGCTTCTTCGTCTTCTTCATCTTCGGCATCATCGGGGTGCAGCTGTGGGCGGGGCTGCTGAGGAACCGCTGCTACCTGGAGGAGAACTTCACACTGTGAGTCTCTGTCAGTGTGTGTGTGTGTGTGTGTGTGTCAGTGTGTGAGGAAGAGCTTGAGAGAGAAAGGGAGTGTGATGCTTGAGGGTGTGTGGTGTGTTGGTCTGTCAGCTTGGTTGTTTATCTGCAGCTTGTGTTGCCCTGATAAAAAAAAAAACGTAAGTAGACATTTATAAGGAAACATTCTGGCCAGAACATGTTTTTCTCCTTCAGTATGTATGTGTGTGTATGTGTGTGTAACTGGTCCGTCACCTGTCCTCTCACTGCGTGCCCCTCCCTCAGTGTGACTCTAGAAGATTAATTACATCATCTAGTCAATTTTCTGATATTACCATACAGTGAGATGAAGGCTCTCTCTCAAGTGCTAATATAACGAGGCTGATTGCAAATCAAAATTTGCACAAAGCAAATATCATTATCTCGGAGTCACTTAATTAAAAACCGACACACATATTCTCTCACCTCTCCAACCCCCGACAACCCATCACAACCTCCGCTGCACTCGCCAAATCACTAACAGCGTCGTAGCATAGAGAGGCTGTCGGGCCTTCAACATGACTTCCAGGTAATTGTGTAGTTCTGCGAAATAGTTTGGCAGAATAAAAGAGACAGTAAGAAAACAAAATGAAGGAGAAGACAGATGTGCTCATTTTTCTCCCCGTTTCATGATGATGAAGGAATACAGAACATTTTATAACATTCTCCTTCTAAACAAACCCTGGAGCAAAAGTACCAGTGACACGAACTGTATAGGATGTTCAGAAAGGAAGTTCTTTTAAGAATTCTTCAGCAAGTCCTCCGAGCTAAACGACAAAATACATATGACTGTGATGATTCATATTTGACACAGTCTTCCAGGTTCAAAAGGTTGGAAGGTTTTCGGTTAGAAAAACGGTTTTGTAAAGGTTAGGAAATGATGGCGGTCGTTATTATGTGACGGAAACATTAACAGCGGTTTGGTGCCATAAACTTCCCACTTTGTTCCTGACAGACAAGATTCATAATTCACGTGGGCACTGGGAGTCCTGGATGTTTTTAGGTATTTGAACAATGACAGATGCCATCGTTTGTCTTCTGAGTGCAGCCTCTATTATCTGCTTAAATGTGGGATATTGATTACTATGATAAATCCTGTCTGTTTCATCATTCAACTTTCAGAAATGTGTTTCCATAATGTCACTTCTACAAGTTTTTTTTTTCTTTTATGTTAGTTCTTCTATTGACCCAATATCACATAATTAATATCCAATTAGCATCCCTTATTCTCACAATGTCAATTACATTGCATCGTTTTGTGTGTAAAATTAGCCTGTTTTATTAAGGACAGAGCTCATTCATTATATTATTCATTATATTCTACTTTTTCAACTTCTTGTTTTATTACTTTCCTTCTAAATGACTCCTGTGCAGCTCCACCTAGGAGTTTTTGGGTCTCCCCACGGGGTCCACGCCTCAAGCTGTGCCGGTGAAAAAATATTTCTCGCTTAGTTTCATCGAATCTGCTCCGGATTTTTCTTTTGAGAAAACAAAGCCGGACCTGCTGACCTGTTTCGCTCTGTTCCTCCAGGAGAACGAGTTTTCCCACAACTGTCCTCAATTAGCTTCATTTTTACTTCGCATCATCCCCTCACATACTGTGACACACACACACACACACACACACACACCCACATGGACAAAGTAAGCATGCACATTACAAATAATCCCCTGCTGTGCACACACACACAGTCACACACATTTCCTTCTTCATACATTTTCCTAAAGCGCACACACGCAAACACTTGCAAGACTGCACACGCCCCTCCCCACTGATGCACACACTCCACTGAATATCCCCAGCAGGGTATCTGGGGTTTTGAAGAAGGTCTAAGCTTTTGAATGCTAATAATGTGATGTGGGTGTACTGTACCTTTATCTCGCTGCTGCCCCTGACCTTTACAGTTTCACAACTGGATGCACTTTGCTTTGTTGGTTTTTTTTAAAGTTTTTCTATATCTCTTCACCTTTTCACTTGTCCTCTGTCCCTTTCTTATTTCTTGAGCATTATTGTTGAGATAGCTTTGTGTGGTGTTTCCAGGACTAATGTTCTGTATCTCAGTCGCTGTGGGCTGTTTATTTTGGTGGAAGTGTCAGAAATTCAATTACTCTTTTGTCATGTTGCTTCAGAATAGGAGGAGTACAATTGCGGTTGTTGATTTAGGCTGGATGCCCCTACACTCTCTGCTTGTATCCTTCAATGGCACAGGGATCTTTTTCTGTGTGTGTCTGTGTGTTGGATTGTGTACTGCAGCTATTTGTGCACAGTAGCAGAAGCAGCTGTCACTCAGACGTCAACATCCTTCAACTTCTACCCGTGAAATCCTGCTTTTGATGACATTCTCACACACCATGAAATGCCACAGCTCCCTGACAAGAGAACTCAGTAGATAAGATCTGATGTCAGGGCTGAATGTTTTATAGCTTTTATATCAAAACTGCAGTTTGAAAGAGTCACAAGAGCCACAGTTTTAATTGCATTATTAATAATGACTGGCTTTTGAAAAAGTTTGGCGAACTACCAACTGTGTCTTTACACTGTGAGTATGATACCATTCCCTGTAAACAGAGATGGATGTAGCCTCCATGATGTCACTCATAGGTTTCTGAAGAGCAGTTTTTAAGCTCAGAGTGAGCAGCTTAGCCGTTGTCATCTTGGCAGCGCCTGACTTCACCCTAACTCCCGGCTAATTGAAAAATGGGCGTGTGGAGCCAAAACTTTTGTTCATGCCAGTTTGTGGCAAACATACGCTCACCTGACCTGTCACTCAAAGTGGCCACACCCTCAGGTGTGCATAACTTTAAACCTTAATAAAATTTCAACAGGTGAGTTGTATAAAAATTCACTCATGTACAGAGGCTTATACCAAGCTGTAAACGTGTTTATTTCTGCTGTAAAATTGGGCATTTTAACATGGGAGTCTATGGGGATTGACTCACTTTTGGAGCCAGCCCAAGTGGCCATTCGAGGGCCTGCAGTTTTTGGCACTTCCATGTTAGCTTCATTTTTCAGCCTCATTTTTCAGTATCTTGAGTCTGTGAGAACCTCAGTGACAAAAACTATGTTTTGTTGATGTAGGAATATGTTTGTGATTATGTTTAATACATATGTTGTTCATAATAGACGATCTATCCAGGAGTTAATAATTCATAGATATTAATTACTGTTCAAATTGCAATATCGGTTTGGAAAATTGCAATTAGATATTTTCCTCAAATTGCAATACAATGCAAGATGAGCTAAACCTAACATTTAAGGTATGTTTGTTTTACTCTCTCCAGTGTCTTATGTGCATCTTTCGGGATAATACTGTATTTTATTAGTCAGTAATTTCCTTGTAAATCCCCTGGAAAATACCATGTAATTTTGTATAAATTACAGGGAAAAGAGAGACTAATAGGGAATTCCTCTAAAAATATAAATTTCCAGAAGAATACCCTCAAAGAAACTGCTCTAATGGAAATCGTATCCTCCATACGATGATGAATTGGATAATGTTTGAATGTTCAGCTGACCTGCTGTTCCCCGACTGACTCTACGTTACAGAACGCTAGCCTAGCAACTAATTGGAATTAATTGCTTAGAAATGTTTCCCTTTCCAGGAATCTTGCACCAGATACATTTACATATTAGTCTCTTTCTGCGAAATCACTGTCACGACCTCTTTGGATCATTTCACGCAGCTGGTTTTCACACCTCATTCACCATACACACCGACCTGGAAGATGACTGATGAGATCAGACAGGGACAAGATGAGTTAAGATCATTTCTGATGCATGTGTTTTGATCAGATGATCAGATTGATTACTTTGAGTGTCAATGTAATGTAGCCAGATATGCATTTCTTGCACAAGGCATATGTAAATTTGAATTTTTAATCACAGCTGATCACTAATCAGTCATGAACTATGATAATTGTCCTCATGTCCCCCCCTGGTAACAGCAAAAAAAAATAGCATGTCAGAATTAGTAGCTGGAAGCTTAACAGGTGTTGTTTGTTCCCAAATATCTCTATGATTAAGAGGACAGCTAATACCACCGTGAAAACACAGAGCTCAGACAATAACTGGGATTGTGTCTGTGGTGAGCATGAGCCCAGGGAGACCAGATCCACAGCCAAGCGTTTGATTAGGCCGGTTTGGCTGCACGCAGGAGTGGGCTGGATGGCGTTTCGCACTGCAGAGAGCCCAGAGAGAAAATAATGATCTGATGAGAGGCTTTTGGGGGTAGGCCGTAACCATGGTAACCAATTCAGAGATGAGATGCAGAGGAGCTGTAATCATGGGATGTCCTGACTCACCTGCGTTAATGTCAGTCACGTCGTCCGGTGTCGGTAAAACATGCACACAAGCTGATTTTCTTTTTTGTGATGTAAACCATGTGTGACGGTTGTAAATCAGAGCGCAGAGTGTTTCAGAGGTATAAAACAAACACCTTTGGGTTGAAGCCCCTGCTGTCAGGAGTCCAACGTCTCCTCAGGTGTGAAATGACTGCTGTCTGTTTGACACTGTCTGGTGGCAAACACAATCACCTCAGTATACAGAGACACACAGGTGATTTTATTTTTTCTTTATTTGTCTGATGTCCAATCTGATAATGATGCAGGCTGCGGTGTCTGCTGTCCCTGGATGTTGACTCAGTCACATGCAGAGGTGGGGATTTGTGGATGAGGCGTGCGACGGGGAGAAAGAGTAGAACTCGTGGGTGGATGGCAGTCACATTTATTCTGATGTTTACTTGCTGTTCCCAGGCCTCTGGTTAGCAACAAGATAAAAATACAAACGACTGAAGCCGCTGGTGATCAACAGGAAATCATTATCTGGGAACACAAGTTCATTCATGCAGACACACACTGTAATGCAGGTTCTTCCTTCATGACACACACACACACACACACACACACACACAAAATGCTATGTGGAAAGCCAACAAGTAAAGGCCGGTAGAAACCATTACTTTGCTGAGCCTTTGTCTTTGAACTGAGAGTGCTGAGCAGGTGGGCTCAACAGGAAAACAGAGCGAGAGCGAGATAAATAGAGAGGTGTTTGACATTATGCTCATTTTTTTTTTCTTTTAAATTCTAGGTTTGCATTAATCAGGTGCACACTCTGCTAGTTGGTAAATTAGATATTGTCTTTAACTGATAATTATCTTCCACGTGACACCATGAGCTGAATAAGTCTCAATATCGCAGACTACCAGACTGGTGGGTCAGGGGTGTTATAAAAACTAAATTATTACTTTTCCCATCAATTGGAAACCAATGCTTATGAAAACCAATCTTAGCAATATCTATTACAATTAGTTTGACAGTATTATTATTTAACAATAACACATCATCCTCTGCTTTTATTCGCTGCAGTTATTTAAACTAAACAATCAGTCACTTGAGGAAATCTCAGAAGTATTTGTATGTAGCAGGAGACAAAAGAAGTGATGCACACTCACAGAATTTGCTATTATTCAAGTACCATATTGCATGATACTTGCAGATGCAGATGTCAGCATTTAGAAGAAGACACCAATATCATGGGCAGGACATAAAAGTCAGGTGGAAACAACAGATATAAAATTAAATTATTGGTGGTAAAGTTGTGTGGAGAGGCTTCCAGGTCAGGTTCCTGCATCTTGTTGCTTCAAATCCGTTGGATGTGGTTTTAATAAAGGTCTAGAGTCTGCACTAAATGTTGCATATTTTACACTTTTCCTGTGTTTTATTTGAAGTGTTGATCCATAAGAAGATATATTTATTGTTTTTAAACAGCAAAAAGCATCTCCATGAAGTTTTACATCTCCCCTGTAAGGCTTCTCTCTGGAGCTTTGGCGACAACAGGTCAGTGAGCCAATCAGAGGAGAGGCTGTGAGTTATCCAATAAAAAATATAGCAGATTATAGTTAAACGCTCAGAGAAACCAATCCAGCAAGGTTGGATGGTGGGAACAGGTGGGTGGGACTTGGGGCATGGCTGAGAGCGGTGACTGCTTTGTTGTGATGTCATAAAGTTACAGGAAGTCCTGACGGCTGGTTTTAAAGCTCAGTTTCTGAATACAGGCTGTGTGCATTTCTCTGTGGACTGAGGCTTTGATACGTTCACAGTATTAATATAGAACCTAGACCTGATCTATATAATCAGACAACACATAGACTTCTACCTTTATACAATACAGGACCTTTAAACACAGAAAATATTGTCACTTGGAGCTTTAACTATTAAACATCATCAGACACAACAACTTTCTAATGTTTTGTTTACATTCACCTCAACATGCTACTCTGGGTTTGGGATTTTCTTTGGCCCTATGAGCCGATATAGTTCTGCCATGATGCAACCGAGGACAGTTTGGCCAGAATTATTCATATGGGAGGAAAAAGATGAGGAAAAATAGACCAAAGTCAAAAACATCCAGAGCTTCATTGTAAACGTAACTGACATGAGAAAGCCCGAGCTTCTCCTCAGGTCAGTGGGCTCGATAACAGCTTCTATTCAGTGCAGCACAATACAAAGAGACAGAGTCAACAAAGGAGGTAAAAAGAGCTTGACAAAGACACACTGACTGGGAGACAAGGTAGTACTCACAATGCTGCTTCTATGGATCCTTCTCAAATACCAGGTCAGATGTAATTGCTAACCAACCTTTGTCTTCATCTGGATCTCTCTCTCCGGTCTGCCCTTTAAATAGCAGCCCTCTCAAATTAAAGAGCAATCACACAGATCTTTGCTGTTCTCTCTCTTTAGCCTCGACCTTGCTCTTTTTTGTAATTGCGAGGCAAACACCTTTACTCTTTATTCTTTGTTTTTCTTGCCTTCCCTCTTTGGGTTATTGATTCATATTTTAGTTTTCCTTCCTTTTATCGTCCTTTTCTGTTTCTTGCTTCATAACACTACGTCTTGCCTCATTGCTTCCTTCATGACTTTCTTTCTTCCCTTTTTTTTCAGTTTTTTTTTGCATTTGTCAACCGTTCCCTTCTTATTTCATTTCTTCCCTCCATCTTTCCATTTGCTTTCTCTGTTCCTGGCCTCTACTCTTTCCTAAAGTGCTTCCTCTGCTGCTTCCTCCTCTTCCTCTCGTATCGTTCTCTTTTTACTTCCAGCATCTTTCAATGCAAAAAAATTTAACTCAGAGCTCCCACTGGAACTCATTTAACAGTATGGTGGTGCTTTTGTGGGAACTGTTGTGTTCATTTACTGTCAGCGTCGCTGTCATACTTTTACAGCTCAGCAGATTATTTTCTCGTTTCTCCCAGTCTGAATCCCACAACATGATCCTCAGTGCACCAGTGACTCTAATACTGTGTCTGATGAGACCTAAATTTAAAAAAAAACTGCTGTTAGTTGTAAGCCGTTCTCGGCCTATTCCTCTCTCTCTCAGTAAAAGCCCCGACACACCAAGTCAGACGCCACAAAATAACTTTGATGAAGACGGACTGATCAAATGCTTTTCCTCGCTTCATGCTGCTTCACCTTATCTGTTAAAGGTTGCACCTTAACACCTTTCAGAAAGTACAGCTGACAGCCAGGTGATGACTGATCTGCATGTACACCACCACTCAAAACACCTCTCTTTTTCCAGCTGTTTATTTAAATTTGCATGATTCGGAAATTCAGTGTCTCTGTGTTTCTGAAATTAAAGCAACAAATAAACTATTGGAGATTTGAATAATAAGGAATCACTTAATCGTCCTGTTGAACTAAATTTAACCTACATTTGTGATTCATCCAGCAGGTGAACACACCTTTCTAAAATGGAAATCAGATATTGTTCAGAAAGTTTGTTCAAACACTGTTGCAGAGGTTCCTACAAATGTGTTGCACCTGTAGTTTGTTTTGCTTTCACTGCCTGTTAATCCCAAACCAGCCTCATGGGGTTTCAGTCTGGAGCCTGTGCTGCTCTTCCATCATTTGAAGCCATCGTCTGGTTCTTCTCTTCTAATGGTTAGGGTCATTATCTTGCTGTATGATGAACCCCTGATCAACCACATATTTGTTACTTGCCTTTTTTTTCCTCTACAATGTGATGGAAATACTGTATTCAGACCTACTTCCTGCAGTACAGTATTGTCCTAACAATGCATCAGAGGATCTAATAGCACAGTTTGTTCCAACACTGCCATTGTAAAGACTGATAGTTTGTAAGTCATCGACAAAAGTTGGGGCACCTGTAGGAATCGTATACTCAACTTTCAAGGCTTCATTTTAGTTTTTTTGCTGGACTTGGACTGCTTAAAGGGGCCATTTGTAAGTTTTTGCTATTGCTACATAGCCAACATTAGCATTAACAGCTGTTTACTTAACAGTCTAGAAGAAACAGTTCAGCATCAAACTTCATTAACTTACTTACCAAGAGCTGTCTCTAGCAGTGGGAAGCTATCTTCTTGTTTGCTTCTTTTTCTATCACTTCTTTTCTTCTACTGAAGTTAGCATGCTAACCAGCTAGCCCCAGTCTGGCAAGACTGCCTCGTCACTTTCTGATACCGAGTCACTCTAGTCTTCCGTGAAGATGTAGCGCTGCTTAGACGGGATATTATAATCTCTTTTAGATGCAACAATGGCTGAAGCTCTTGTCAAGACTGCTAAGTGTACAGATGTTAATGCTAATGCTGGCTGTGTAGCAATAGCAAAACTCACAAATAGCCTCCTTTAAATTTCAGTACAAAGTAGAAAAATGTCAGTGCTCTAAAACTTTTGACTGGTAGTGTTTGTTCGTCAGTGTGAGAGGAAATAAACTTTGTATTTGTAATCCAGAGAATATCAAAGATAGACAAACAAAGCAAACTAAACTATTATTTTCACAACACTATGGAGTTGATTTAACAGTTTTGTTATTTGCATGTCAAGCTTTGCTTTGCACAAGGTTTTTCTCAGCCTCTGGATTGTTTGACAGTCGGCATTTGCAATTCTGTTGTTTGTTAGAGAAGAAAGGTCAGAAGCACAAAAATAAAAAATGAAAGAAATAAGCAGCGATCACATTAAACGGGTGAAATCAGTGATTCACTCGGCTGAGGAGCCAGTCAGACAGCTCTCTCACAGACTGCCCTCGTTGCCAGTAGGACGTCCACAAATGTGTCCAGAATACAGCCGATGTCGGACACAACACAAAAACTAAAGGAAATTGTCAGACACAGAGACAAGTGAGACTGTCAGCTTGGTGCGTCGGGGTGTCTCCATCGCCACATTTCTTGTCCGTCTGTGGTGTAATTTTCTTTCAATTTGAACCCTTACAAACAATAATCATCTCTCTCTCTCTTTCCCTCGCTCTCTCTTTCTCTCTCGCTGTCTGTCCTTTCATCCACCCATCTCTCTGCCTGTGATCATTACATTTTATGCTTTCAGTTCCAGTCTCTCACAGCACGCAAATGTTGGAAACATCCATGAAGGACAAGTGGTTTTGGTCTGTCTACAATTCCCATGACAAAATTATCACGGATGCACACTCGCACACATGCATTCGTCTATGTCGGCACTTCGCAGTGTCTCTCCATACAGTACCTGTGTTTGTGGAAGCATGTGGGTGAGACTGTGAAGCTTTTGATTCTGGCATCAGCAGAAGCTCTTTCATGTGTCTCAGGATTTCTGTAAATGTGTCACAAGCGTTCTTCTAGTAACTCCTGTTGCAGCATATTTGCTTTCAAATTTTTACTCAGTACTCATCAAGCACAATCATATTTTATGCCCAGCCTCAGTTTTCAGTCCATCACAGACCTTCTACATGAGTCAGTGTTTGAAATATCACAGCTTTACAAGTGTACCTGTGGTTTTACTCGTGTTTCTACATTTGGAAACCACAGCAGTGAACTCACCACCTTCTCCCTTCACACCTCCAGCACTACGGGTATCAATCTGCCTCGGCCCTACTACATGCCCGACGAGGATGACGAGCGGCCCTTCATCTGCTCCCTGCCGGTCGACAACGGCATCATGTCCTGCTCCGACGTCCCGGCTCGCCGCGAGGGAGGCAGGACGTGCTGCCTGGACAAAGACGACGCCCTCTACCGCCAGTCGCTGGGCCTGAGCCCCGAGCCTCTGGCCAACGGGAGCGTCAGCGTAGCGGGGCTCTGTGTCAACTGGAACCAGTACTACACCAGGTGTCATACTGGGCACAGCAACCCGCACAAAGGAGCCATTAACTTTGACAACATTGCCTATGCTTGGATTGTCATCTTCCAGGTGGGAATTTTGTAACATGTAAACAGAGCACCAACCAGACTGCTTTGTTTTTGTCTCACAGTGTTCAATGAGCCATTTCAAATAGCTTTAGCAATATTCAGCAACGTTTTCACAGACAGAAGCAACTTAAGTGAGAAGGAAACATTCAAATCCTCATGTCGTAACACTTGAAAAGTTCGTATCAAAACGGCTTTTGAAGTTATTATGAGCACAGATCAGACACCAGTTACACAGAAGCAGGAAGCAGCTCAGGACACGTGCAGAACGTTTTAGATTCTCCATCCTGTCACATACATTGTTTACCAGGTGATATACAGTATGTACTCGGAAAACACACAAATAAATAGAAAACTTGCCTTATTTATCCACTGAATAAAAGTTTCCATAAGTTTAAGTTGTACTGAAACTTAGCACTACACAGTGTGTTAAAGGATTAGTTCAGCATTTTGTGACATAGGCTTATTCACTTCCTGGTGGGAGTTAAATGAGAAGATCATTACCTCTGTCTTGTCTGTATGTTAATACAACAATACGGCCACTAGCAGCTTAAACTTGGTTTAGCATGAAGACCTGAAACAGGGGGAAGCAGCTAGCCTGATAACAGCACCAAAAAGATCACTGCTTCACATCTTACTGAAGATCTCATTTGTTTCATCCATGAAAATAACAAACGAGCAAAAACTTGTCTTTTTACGTGTTGCATTTATGTGCCGCTCTATTTCTTGGCCGGGAACAGTTGTCAGGCAGCCAGTGGAAATTCGACTTTTTCATATAACAGCTTTAGAGGCAGATTTTCTTACCTTCAAACAAAGCGGACGAGCTGTTTTCCAAGCCTTTACGCTCAGTTAAATGAACTGTTTTCTGGCTGCAGTGGCTGTAGCGGTGCGGTGGTATGAATCTTCACATCACGACTTTCCCACCGGAAGGAGTATAAATGCACTTTGAACTATTCTTCCAACACCGGTATTTCAGCCCTGAGGATGAGATTAGCTGTGGATGTAGCTGCCGCCTGTGTACTCACAGCTCTTTTCCTGCCTGTAGGTGATCACTCTGGAGGGATGGGTGGAGATCATGTACTATGTGATGGACGCGCATTCGTTCTACAACTTCATCTACTTCATCTTACTGATTATTGTAAGTCACGCTTGGCTTTACTCGCACACACAAATACACACAGGTAACTTCATTCATCAGGATGTTGTACATGTCTGCAAAATCACATGTAAAAAAATTATGTCATGGCTCTTTAATGGACTTGTGAAAAAAAAAAAAAAATCTTATGATGTCAGGAGGATGTAATCCCACTTAAAGCTGAGACACACGCTTGAGTGCCAATACACTCACTAACACACTCACTAACACACACGTACATGCAGTGAAGTTGTAGTTTCTGCAGTCAACCAACTGTCTTATTTTTACATTTTGCTGTTTTTGTTGCCAAGTTACAGATGACGGCGAGGAAAAACGCTGTCACTCCTCTTGCACTCTCTCTCACTCACTCACTCACATGCACACACACACACACACACACACACACACACACACACACACATACATACACACACAGGGCTGTTAGTGTCATAGTGAAAAGCTGAAATCCCTAAAGAACCCCCCCCTCTTTTGTTCTGATAAAACACTTTTTAATTCCACTCTTTCTCTCTCTCCCTCTCTCTCTCTCTCTCTCTGTGCGTATCTGCTGCGATGGGTGTTTGTGTGTACCTTTTGTGTATGAGCGTTGATGCGTGTTCTCCTACTTATATTATTTTTTGTGTGTGTGTGTGTGTGTGTGTATCATAATGCAGCGTAACTGCCAGCCCCAGTTACTTCTCTAACCCAGGGGCTGTCTTGTCTTTTTATTACACTTTTAATTGCCTGCCTTCAGATGCAGACATAAGCTCTGCCTCTCCTCTCCTCTCGTCTCGTCAACCCTCCCTTCGTTCTTCACCCCTTAATTTCTTCTAACATTACTCGCCCACCATTACCGACTCCTTGAATCTGTCAATCACTGCTCTCCTCCACCCCTACCTTTCTTACCTTTTCCCGGCATCTATCAATCCTTGTGTCTGCTAACACTTCCCTCCATTCCCTCCTGTCTGCATCTTTGTGTGTCTCACTCTCTTCCTTAACCCCCCCTTTCCTCCCTCTCTTTCCTTTTATCTCTACCACCTCCCCCCCCCCCCCCCCCCCCCCCGTTCCGTCATTTCATCTCCCCTTCCTCGCTGAGCAGTGTCCTGAGCATCATTCATATATCTGTCACGCTGCTCCTTATTCCCAGTCACGCAGAAACACACACATACATACAAATTTATTTACACACAGACAAGGACACATTCCCACGCTCTTTCCACAGATTTGCTGTGGGACATTATCTTCGACATCAAGCCCCTAAAATTGTCTCACTACAGATAGTCTGTGATATAATGGCTGCCTTTGGATGTGGAAACATCACCGAGGAGGGGTGGAAAGGCAGAAAAATAGCTGAGGACAGGGGTAAGTGAAAGTAAGAAACGGGGGGGTGCAAAAAAAAGATGATGAAATGGGAGAGAAAATAGACGGAAGGGGGTCAGATGGAAATGGAGAAGAGGTATGGAAAGCCGGGAGAAAGATGGCGGCGAGCTTAAGAGAGAGGGTGATTAAGAGGGAAGAAGTGGAGGAGGGACGGGAAAGGGACTGATGGATGGATGGACGAGTGAATCGATAAAGAGAAAAAAAAAAGCAGAGGGTGGTGATGATGGACCGGTGTGTCGGCATGAAATTAGAAAGAGGATCGGAGGAGTGGAGAGAGGGAGCGGCCACATGTCGCTGTCTCTCTTTGATCTTGAATGAAACGTTATTAATTAGAGCAAATCCAGGTTTAACAGTGGGTCATACAACATGATGCTCAGTCCCCCAGTCTTCAGCATCGACACGCTCTAGTATTAAGGAAGTTTAGTTTTAGTAAAAGCCGTTAAAACATTAAATAGAAAACACAACATGCAATATTAAAATAGGGCATCAAAAGGTATTTAAAGGTAGTCGATGTGAAGACTGGGAACGGCTGTTGAATGTTCTTGGATATTTACTGCTAGTGGGGAAATAAAACAAACAATTAACAAACAAAAAACAATGAGGTTTGGCCTGAAGGTGGCACTAGAGAAGAGACCAAGAGAGTTTATTATTTGTAAGGTGTCCACTTGAGGACATCTTGGAGCTGTGTACCCTCATGTCTCCTCTGAGTATCCACTAAAGCAGAAATGCCTGCAGCACAATCCAAATGAGGAGGCAAATCTCCACTGTTTAATCCCTAATGAAAAATGTGCTTTAGATAAAGTATCACAGCATGATTTTTTGTTGTCCCCCCTTCCCCCCATAGAGTCGAGACGTGACAGTCAGGCTCTCGTGTTACAGCGTGTCTCAGGTCTCGCCAACAGACGTGTGTGCAGGAATGTGATTTGCGAGTCGCTGTTCTCATGTTAAGAGTTCCACTCGTATCCCTGCGTGTCCTCATATCGCTGACAGACAGACGGATGAGGAGACTTTTAATTATGTCGTCTTTAATACTATCATGACGCTGAGCGCACGGAGCACAATCCATGCTGAGAGAGAAGCTCCAGAATACGTAGGTAGACGCCTCCACAGCTTCCTGGATCACCGACTGACTGACAGACCACAGTGTCTTTGCCGCAGTCTGCTGGTGCAGCAGCGTCAGAGACGGCGGCACCAACAAGCCTGACCTGGGAGGCCGGCTCCGTGCTGGAGACTTCTATGAAGTTGGTTGTGCTAGAGGAGGAAGCTGCACAAGCTATCGCGCATCAAGGAGAAGATCCGCTCCACGACCCTGCTGGTCAATCAGCGGAGAGCTCTTCGAGCGGGAGACTCCTTCAGCTTCACCGTGACAAGGAATGCTGCAGGAAGTCCGTCCTGCCAGCTGGAGAGGGGACTCCTCTGACTGAAGAGTTATTCCTCAGCGCCGGCGACAGCCAGGGCCGGATGTTTGCGTGGTCCTCCGTCCATCTGTCTGTCCGTCTGTCCCACTCTCATGAATGCGATATCTCAGTAACACCTTGAGGGAATTTCTTCAAATCTGGTACAAACATTCACTCGGACTCAAGGTTGAAAGTGCTTTGATTTTGGTGGTCAAAGGTCAATGTGACGGTGACCTCACGAAACACAGTTTTGGCCTTGTGAGTACAGTATCTCGGGAACTCCTCAAGGAAATCCTTTCAAATTTGGCACGAATTTGTGTTCAATAATGAACCCATTTTATGCCTATGAATTTGTGAGTTCATCGGCTATGACACAATTTGAGTGAACACAAGTGATGAAATTTTATATCCAAAAGGTCAAAGGTCACCGTGACATCATAATGTTCTGCCAAACCGACTCCGGCTATTATTCAACGCTTTAACTCAGACAGGGTTTTGATTGTGATCATATTTCCTGCGACCTGGTTGGTTGGAGGAGGGATACACCCACAAGGCGGTAATTTTAGTTTTTACCTGGATGTTTTATGTATGATATTATGAACCACATGTGTTATTTATCAGATTATATTATCTATATACAGTAAATCCAATGACTGGCACTTATGTATAGTACATTATAGTACATCATATTATATTATATGTGTATTTAGCACACAGTATAGCTATGGGTCTGTCTTTAATCTCTCTAATTTCTTACGGGCCTATTCATTTTTATTTTTATACTTTATTTAGTTATTAGAGGATTTAGCTGTTGAGTGCGTTGTTTGTTACCTTCTTCATTATTCTTGTGATTCATGTGAAGTGGCTGCCGCAACACTGCAATTTCCCTTTGGGATTAATAAAGTCCTCACTCTGCCTATCTATCTATCTATCTATCTATCTATCTATAGAGAGAGAGATGGAGGAGAGCGAGCGACAGCAATCCGAGACAGACACGGAGAATGGAAGGAAAGAGAGAGAGAGAGAGAGGTTCAGCTTGTATTTTAGATGACTTGACTATTTTGCTCACGTAACATTCATGCAGATTAGGCGTGTTAAATTGAAATTCGCCGAGAGAGAGAGAGTTGAAGTGGGATGGAGAGTGAGTGATGGGAGAGAGTGCGAGGAGGGAGCGAGATGAAAACAGCGATGAGAGAGAAGGAGTGACAGACGGAGGGACAGATGAGAAAAAGTGAGATCAAGATGGAGAGAGTTAAAGCTGTTGCCGTCTGCTGATTACCATCATGTAGAGCAGTTAAGACAAAAGGACTCGGTGGAATTAAAAAGGCTTTGCGCGGAAAAATAGCTGAGCCCCGTGGAATTAAGGTTTAACATCCGGAAATACCCGCCCCAACCTGTTTTCTTACACAGCCGCACAGTTGTGTTTAAGCCCCAGCCGCTCCTTTTTGCCCTCACTTATACCTGATATTAACATACACTGATCATTAATGTCACATGATCACCTGCTGTAATCTGAACGGAGGAGGCAGCAGCTGACGCGTGATCAGTCCGTGTCAGCCTGCAATAACCACAGACTCTGTAAGTAATGTGGCATAAGTTTGATGAGTTTATAATACGCATTTGATCAGTTTCCCCACACTGCAGGAGTGTGCCGTTGTAGTAGATTGTTCCCGCTTTAGCTTAAATGGCTTAACGTCAAAACTAAGATTTCAAATTAAGATGAAATTACATTTGCTACTTCTATAAACTCCAGTACTTTGCTGGAGCTTAACATCTTTGCTAAACAACCTATTAGACATGGAGTTCAATAGCATTTTATCAAATCTAAATCCTTTCAAATCCCCCTTTCTGTGTCTTTGGTGGGGAATGGAGTTGATTAATGTTAATGTGTAAATTGTCGTCAAAAAATGTCCTGTTTTTATTTCACAAAGCTGTGATTAGATAAATTAATGTTTAAGGATCTAGCTTCTTCTTGTCACATTAATAAGACAATTGGTAATTTTAATTGTGATTTATGGACTAATTACCACACAAGCATCACACTGACACAAATAGAAACTACAGTAATTACCAATCAAACCTAAACCATTGTTATTCTGCTCTGCTGGAGGGTTGTTGGGCTTTCACCACATAGATTATCTTTGCTCTGTGACATTCGTTAACCCTGTCCTCGCTTATTTAGCTCCTCACTGCAGAAGCTGTAGGAGCCAAAGAAAAAAAAAAACAGCAACAACAGTGAAAATAGTATTAATCGTCCTTCATCATAAAGTGAATGTCAAGGAAAACAAGCTGCGGATGTCTAGCAGGTGAACTCGACGCTTCGCCGCAGGTCACTAAATCTGTCAGTTGCTACTTAAACATGTCAGATATTGGCAAACACTTGTCATATATATTGCACCTTGCAGCTGATTTGATGACTTCGTTTTAAAGCGTTTTAAACTCGTTTTGTTGTTAACAGCAGCGTCACTGAGTTATCACATTTTTTTTTTTTTTAATCATCAGTATCAGTCTGTATTCCCGTTGTGTCCTTAGACTGTAACTAAACAGAGAACATCATGTAAGATTCAATAAAGGATTCATTGGCCACGGAGCTTGATGAATCCAGATATTTAATCAACTTAAATCAAATCCAAAATGGAACCGACTAAAAAGGACTCATCGCTACAACGACATAACATTTAGCTTCGACTGTAGGTCTCATCATAAACCGGTGACTTTCCAGTTTTGCAGTGAGTGTGTGGAGTCAGGCTGCACAGACTCATCTACTGGTGGAGCGCTTGCTTAATTATTGTGGTGCGGACAGGTTGTTAGTGTCCGTGCCCATGTCTCATGTCTGAAAAACATTTTGAGCAGATTACTCTTACGTGATTTCAGATGGGTGCACTGGCGTTATATGTCAAAAAAGGTGATTTTGGTTGTTCCCCAGCCTCTAAAATATTCTCACTGTCCTTGCAAACAGCTTAAAACAGCATTATTATTTTATCTTATTTGATTTATTTTGTCTCTTGAGAGCACAACAATTTGATGAATGAAATACTGACTTTTTTGTTTTAGCATTAATTTGGTCTCTATTAACTTCTGGAAAAAAAAAAACATCTGGCTTTTTAAGTTGCTAGTTGTTTGAATTTCTTTACCAGCCGGTTGTTGGATTTGTGTGTCTGCAGTTCGGTGCCTGGTGCGTAGTGTACTGTCGGTTTATCGGAGTTAGTTTGCTGAAACCAGCCGCCTGCTGTTGCTGGGTTCATGAGAGCGCCGCACCAAACAGGAAATGTGCGGTAGATTTGTTACTGTACACGACACCTTTCACATTTACTTTCATATTGACTGAAAATGAGTGGAGCTTTGGTTTTTGGGAGTTGTGTTAAATCTTGGTAAAAAAAAAAAAAATTGGGGGGCTTGTTTCCCTTTCTCTTGCTCAGCCCCACAGTGCGTCCATTCAGTTCCATCTACACACACTCATCGGCTCTCACACATACTCATTTTGTCACTCTGCTGCAAACACTAAAACTACACACACTCACACACACACACACTAATCTGATTGTATTTCAGTGGCTCCAGCAGAGTGTGAGTATAAATATTTGATGGGATCAGCCAGGGTGCTGAACGGGTGCTGGGACCCACTGCCTCCCTTTCAGTCGGCGAGTCCAGAGCGCTGGCGTGAAAACCAGCCAGTCTGACCACAAATCTCTGCTCTGGATCAATGAGGAGTAGCTTTAACACACAAAACACACACAGACAGACACACACACACACACACTTTATCCCGCTCTTTCACAGTCTTTGTCACTAGGGTTCAGATGGAGAGCAGGAGGGGGTTATAAGGTTTCACAATCACTATTGATCAGAGCCTAGAGAGTGTTTCACTTCATCCCCTTCTCTGCCTTCTCGCTTCCCTCTCCTCCTCTTTTTTGCACATCAGCTCTGCGACTCTGGGTGACCTTGCCCTTTTTTTCTTCTCTTTCCCTCTCTCTCTCCTTCTGTAGCTGACAAAAAAAATCAAGTGAGGGAGTGAGAGTGAGCCTAAAACATCGAACACGCAGCACCGCGAGACAGCATACCTGTCGGTTTTCTGACTCACTTATTTATTGCTGATAAAAGTTTAAGAAAATCTTCACCTTTGCTGCCACCTTCTAATCTTCTCCAAACACAAGCATTTTAAATAATCTTGAGTATCCGCATGGTGGTGGATTTTGGATTTGACAAAGATCTATATATATATAGATATATATATCTATATAGATATATATATCTATATATATATATATATATATAAAGATCTGGGTAGATGATAAGAGCAGTGAGAGACAGTGCAGCTTAACAGATAAAGAGCACAGCCCCCTGCAGAGATTCAAATGTCATCAAAGAAAATTTGGGAGGCGCTCCTATATGTAATGGCATTCGAAGCCCTATTTCCACAGGGTAAGTGTTCACACTGGAGACCTCACGTGATTAATGGGCATTTTTTGTTTTTACATGATTCCTCTTTTTCCTACTTCAGGGGGAGAAATATTGTGGAAGAATAAGAAGATATATTTGTGGTTTTCAGAACTAACTAAACCATCTCAATGCAGTTTTACATCTCCTCTCTCGGGCTTCTCTCTGGAGCTGCAGTAACAACAGGTCAGCGAGCCAATCAGAGGAGAGGAGGCTCTGAGCCTCTCTTCTGATTGGATGACTGTTTTCTGAGTGATCCAGTAAAAATATAGCAGGTAAACCAAAGGAAATCAAAATCTTGCAAGGTTGGATGGTGGGTCCAGGTGGGCGGGGCTTGGTGACTGCTTTGTTTTGACATCACAAAGTTACAGAAGTTCTGACGGCTGGTTTTCAGGTGCAGTTACTGAATACAGGCTGTGTGCATTTCTCTGTGGACTGAGGCTTTGATACTTTCACAGTATTAATATAAAACCTTGAGCTGCTTTATAATAAAAGAACACATGGAAATCTAATTTTTTACAATATGGGGCCTTTAACATATTTCTCAATGTCATGAAACATAGAAATAAAGCACTCTAGATATGTAACAGTGCTCTACAATGAGGGTTTTGTTATGCTCATCTGTTTTAATTAATTCTGCTTCTATTATGAAGAAATCATGTTTTTTTCTGTTAGATTGGATTGGCAAATGACTGTAAACACCACAATACCCATGAGCCCTGGCTGTCGCTCCTATGGAGAAGAAGCCAGTTAGAGGCACAAATCAGAGCTGTAATGAATTCAAAATGTTTTACAGTCGTAGTTTTGAGCAAAGCTCAGTGTCATAGAAGCTAAATTCATCCGAAATGTTCCCAGAATCCAAAAGTAAATAGATTTTAGCTGCAGATTGTATTGTCAGTTCTGGCAACAGTGAAGTTTCTATCCACCGCTAGCAGCACATTAAATAAAATTTTAATCTGGGTAATTAGATATTTCTCTGAGATGCAGCTTAGCGGTCATAATTAGCTTCTAACCTTACTTTTTTTTAAAAATTTTTTACAGAGCACTGCACCTTTGACATTTCATCAAAGAACCACATATTTCCTGATATAGATGTTAATCTTTATACTGATGATTCATCCCAGAGAGTTTCACCTAACATTACCTGTGGGGAAAATGAATATGACTTTTACCTCAGAACCAGGGCGGCACAAAGTAGCTTCCTTACTAAATTATAGTATGTTAAAATCCACTGATAAGAGAGATAATGGGACTTGGTCACCAAACCTGAGAGAAATGTGAATCATGTGGAGCTTCCTTAAGTCACCTGAGGTTCCCAGATAACACTTCATACTTTAATCTGTGATTTCTCTCCAAAGAAAGAGAGAACACGTGATGACATTATATTTAAAATGGGTGTAAAGCTCTTCTCCTCTTTTGATGGATTAATGTCAGGTGGCCCTAAACAGACCTTTACGTTTGCTGGTCGTGTTAGCAAAATGCTGTCATCGCCTCGAGACGAAGCACTGGAGTTACAGTTATCAGTTCATCGCTTCACTGGATACGCAGCAGCTTTGTTTGCAACCATATTGTATAGTGTGTATAATGTTTGGAATCGTCCAGCCCAGTGGGCAAACAGGCCATAGCTAGCTAAACTGCTGAGCTGAGCTGGCCTCCAGCCAACTCGCTGTGATTCACTGGCCACTAACACAACAGATTATGGCTCTAGGACTATTTCATGCCAAGGTTTTGCAGATGATTATATTTGGGATTAAATATTTACTTTTTTATACTAGGACAACAAATAGGCCTTTAAAGCTGATTGTTTTGATTATGGACGGTTATAGATATCTCACCCAAAGTATTGTGAAAAATAAAATTTTATATCAGATCACATCAGGATGTAGCTTTTAAAAAAAAAAAAAAAGAAAGTATACATAATTAAGGGCATATCAAGCAAAATTCTGATTTAATTTCCAGGACGTCCAGAGTCGCTGTTATTAATCTGGTGATGTGAACTTGAGCCCCGCGTGGGGAGGATGTGAAACAGCATTGCGCCGTCAAGCACCATTCACCCGTGAACTGTCTATTTCCTCCCAGGTGGGTTCCTTCTTCATGATCAACCTGTGCCTGGTCGTCATCGCCACCCAGTTCTCGGAGACCAAGCAGAGGGAGCATCAGCTGATGCAGGAGCAGCGAGCTCAGTGCTCGTCCTCCTCCACCCTCGCCAGTGAACCCGGGGACTGCTACGAAGAGCTGTTCCAGCTGGTCTGCCACGTCCTCCGCAAGGCCAGGAGACAAACTGTCGCCCTTTTCAACACCCTGCGGGGGAAGCCTCGTGGCTTTCGGGGTGTCGGGCGAGGTAGAGGAGGGGGAGAGGGGAGGGAGAGGAAGGCCAACGAACGAGGGAGGCGTGAGAGGAAAGCAGTGTTGAGGCACGGTATGTAACTGTAATGATATTTAAAGACAGTTGTATTTTGTTACATGGTTTTATACACTGACCATTTCACAATTTCAGGTCCTCCCTGCCCCCACCATAACAAACCTGACCACACCTCCCCCGCTGAGCCCATGGCCCTCGCCGCCGCCTCTGCCTCCGAGGGCTGCCGTCAGTGCGCCGCCGCCGTGTCGCTCACCGACGGCGTCGGACCAGTTCGCAGTGCAGCCAGCGGGGAGGCAGAGGAGGGAGCCGTGGAGGAGGCGGACAGGGAGGGGGCACAGTCCGGTGGTAAGGAGAAGGGCAAGAAAGGCCAGGATGGCGCAGAGAACCATGGGGGCTGCAGTCCTAGGAAGCAATGCACGAATCTGTGGTACGAGACGAGGAGGAAGCTGTGGGGCATCGTGGAGAGCAAGTACTTCAACCGGGGCATCATGATCGCCATCCTGATCAACACCATCAGTATGGGCATCGAGCACCACGAGCAGGTACGGACAGCTGCAGCTCTCACTTTTACTTTTACCTTTAAAACGTTTTGTTGTTCTTCATGTCTCATTATATTTTCCCTGTCTTTCATCTCTGCAGTATCTGTGTCATTCTTTCCTCTCTCTGTCTGTTATCTTTTCAGCAGCTCTCCAAGAGTTTTGCAAACTTGAATCAAATGTTCTCAAAAGTCTTATCTGTCGATGAAGACATTACATCGTACACCGGGTGCATTCAACAGGTTCAGCGAAAGGTTCACAAGTAGCTGTCTCTCCAGCACAGTCTCAAAAACAAAATCTACCAATCTGTTAAAGGACAAAATACAGCCGAACTCCCAGCCATGACCACTGCATACAAGGATCAGAGCAACACTTGCAAAAATTTGTGCAGTCTTTAGTGGGAATCCCTGGATGGGAATATAATAAGAATATAATATAAATAATAATAAAAAATGTTACATGGTGAGAGTTATCTCCAGTTAGACGTTCTATACAGGAGATGAACAAGGAAACTTGCCCCATATGTTTGCTGGAATATGACTGGTTTGCTTATGGACACTAAAAGCTTCGGTTAATGGTCATGGTCACTTGTCATCCACAAATCACATGTCTGAGAATCTGATTTAAACCATAAAAGCTTTGTATGTTTTCACGACGTTTAGTTCAAAGACAACGGGAACGAATATTTCCTCAAGCTCGGAGGGAGGTTTCATCCATTATCTAATGTGGGAAAGGATGCTGTTCTTGTTGTTTCTTCTTCTTCTTCTTGTTATTTATTTATTTATGTGTGTGTGTGTGTGTGTGTGTGTGTGTGTGTGTGTGTGTGTGTGTGTGTGTGTGTGTGTATGTATAAGCTAACATTGAAAGTTTATGAATGGGAGAATCCATAGCAGTTAAACACACTGTTTAGTACTTTTAGAGTGAACCGACAGCCGTGCTGCTCACAGTGTGAATTCTCTTTCACCTTCTCCTCCACAATGTAAAGCTCTTTATCTTCTTTCTCCTGCACACCCATCTCTCTTTTTTTTAACATGCCTTTTCCTCCCTCTACCATTATATTGCCTATTTAATGTGACTCTGCAGCCAACAGTTTAGGTTGCAGGCAGGGCCGCTGGAGCGTCATCACCTTTGTCTCAGATCACACTCACCAAGATCTCTAAGCAATAAGCTCTGTGTTTTCTTTTCACTTGTACTTATTTTTTCCCCCCCCATTTCCTGTCTCTTTCTGTCGCTCTGCTTTGTGCACTCTTTGTCTTTCTATCAATATTTCTCGCTCTCGCTATACCATCGCCCACTCACGCCTGCCACCGCCGCAGTGGTGGGTCGTCTCTCATCTCAGGGGCGGCTAAAAATAGAGAGACAGAAGGAGAGAGGCAGAGAGAGAGACTTTGCTCCTTTAATGGGGAGGAAGTAGCAGAGTTGGGATGATGTCTGTGGCTCCACCGCCTGTTTAGCAAACTGCAGTACCCCCCCCCCCCCCCCCCTCCTGTTTGAACAGTGGTATCAGAGGCTTAATCGGTCCCACCGCTCTGATCATCATCCTGTGGAGAGGTGCACCTGTCCCGCTACACCCGGAGTGAGAACCAGTGTGGCAAATGTCAAACAAATGCTTGTTAAATTTCCAGGTTGTAGCAGTTAGGCATAATCTGGACAGTGCGTTCAATATCAAAAGAAACCAGCTTGTTGGTCAAAGAGTGTGAGGTGTGTTCTGGGATGTCACCCACACTTTTTTTTATGAGAGTAAAGATGCATTCTGTGCTAATGAAACTACATGATGAGACATATTATTAGAACTATCAACAACAAACTCTCTCTGCGTTCTCTCATTACAGGTTTAAACATTCACTGGGCTGGAAAATAGTTTGCCACATGAGCTGCTCATATTTTTAGAAACACGTCTCTATATTAATATAACTGTAGTAACGCCACCATCATCACCACTGAATTATGTATCTGGAGAGAGATGAAAATGTTTGTAAGATAGTTTTGTCTCTCAGGGAAAAACACACTAACAACAAAGTCAGAAGTAACAATTTAGAAATCGTTAAAAATAAACATTTTATTCTAAATTATTAGATGTAACAAAGGTGAAATTTGAGAAGAAATACTAATGATCTTAATGACAAATAAAAACACGTCACATTACCAACAGGTTTTGATCCTCTGATAAAGACGTGTGCGACTGAAGACCTAGACAATATATTTCTTGTTTAGATCAGTGGTTCCCGACCTGTGGGAAGGTATTGCAAGTCGGCCAACAAATGAAATGAAAAAATGTGATTATAAAATATAGAAATACGGGTAATGTTTTTAAATGTTTTTAAATAAAATAGAATCTTTAAAAACGCTAAAATGGTTAAAAAACATCTGGAAAAGGTTAGGAACAGCTGGATTAGACCATAAATGGGGTGTTAGCAAATGTTTAAAGGTCTATTGTAGAATCAAGAAAAAGTTATTTTCGAGGATTTCCGTCAGTGCCTAGTGGACCTTAAATTGTTTTTGACATCAGAAATATGATCATATTTCTTAGGAGGAAGTTGTCAGACGGCTCAGTCGTTGTCTTACACATTCGCTGCTGCAATGGCATCATGTGCTTTACTCAGAATGCATCCTCTGTTGAACAGCATGGTTTACTCAAGTGAGAAGACACTTCAGAGAATTTAACAGCTGTTTGGGAATAAATAATGCAGCAGCATGACAGGCACTTTGGAGATGTGACAGGGATGGATAGAGATCAAACAACACAGCTAAATGGTTGTTGTTCTCTGCCAAAATGTCCTGATTAAAAGCGAAGGAAATGACCAGCTTGATGTTGCCAGTGCAGCAACGGTCACAGTCGAAATATCTAACAACACCCACATACTCAGTTTTTAGAATCTGTTGGGACGGGATGGGATCATGTGCAAATTGAAAATATCTAACAGCAGAAATCAACAGTATTCGGTAATTATAAGCAAAAGCAAGTCAGAGTATTCAAAAATAATTTGTTAAGAAAATTAGATCACAGCCATGTTTGAAAGAAGCCCGTGTTGACTGTTGGTAGGAGACAGGATGCAAACGGCATATTTTTGTGTCAAGGTCAGACACTGTAAACCCATCCATCCACCTCCCCCGAAGTGCATCATCTGACAAGCATCAACAGATGCCTGTAGCACACACTGGATACATCATATAGATAGAAAAAGTATTCAGGGAACAGTAGCCGAGAGGTGCTGATCCACATAGCATTTGCCTTTAAGAAGGTCACACGTCTCATTGCTTAATATGAGTTCTCTAATCTAACCTAAAAATAAGTTTGATACTGATCAGATCAGAGCAGCACAAGTGACGCCTGCTTATGCTTGAGTACAGTTGCTGATTAATGCATGTTTGAAATGTGCTGCTCATACAATACAAGGCACACAGTGGGCAGAATTATCTTTCTGCATCTGCATTTTAAATACCATTCCAGTGGTAATGTGCGTCAGCCATATTGCGCTTTAATTTTGAAATGATCAATGCATGGTAGAAAAAAGTAAGCCATCCTTGTGTATGGAGGCACATTTTAGGGGCAGCATTATTTGTCCAGCTGCTGAGCATACACACAGCAGTGTTGTTCATTAATATTAGCTTCATAGCATTTACAATTAGCCTTTTTCTTCTTTAGGTCTCATACTGGTTCGGTTATTGCAGCTGTCTTCTTTTAAACTTTTAGTTTAGTTCACTTCAGAAGTACATACTGTTCACTTTCCCAAATCAACTGCGAGTCCTCAGTGTGACATCAAATCCCCACTCCTCTTATTTCATACCATACCATCAGCCGACCGGAAAACACAAGTCTTTAGATCTGTTCCCAGGTCTGCAGTAATGAGACAGCAGTAATGGATCTCCAGGGGCTGCCAATGCTGTTCGGCTGGTCTGCAAACAGCGGTCAGCCGTCACATCGTTACCGACACTGGTGGGCACGCATCATTAGCCCGTGTTTTCACACTGCTAAACACTCATTAGTACTGACAAACACACACACACACAAACACACACACACATATATATATATATATATATATATATATACATATATATGCTGCAGTGCAAACACACACACACACACACACACACATGCACAT